GTTCTGCGTACTGCCCAACACACAGTAGGCACTCTAAAAATGACTGCTGAATAGAATTTGTAGATAAAAGACATCTGCTGAGCTTAACTTATTCCTAATTCTTTTGAAACAACTTGCTTTCTGCATTCTTCTCCTATAGAAGTCCTAATTCACCTCCAAGATTATGAGGTTGCTCCCTACAGAATTCTCAGACCAATGGACCATGTGAAATCATCCCAGCTATGAAGGCAGCTATGATTTTGCTCCCCACTTCCCTCTTATTGCAATAACACCACTGCAAATATCTAATTTGGCCAAGATCATGAGGAAAATGAATACAGAAAGGGTGAGGTAAATAGCAATCTGTTGACCTTGCTGAGACTCAGTCTAAAATTCCCAGTAGCTAAAATAATTTAGGAGAACATGAAGTATAAGCATGCAATCTCCTCAAACATCAAATGCAGTAAAAAACGTGTGACGGCATTCACAAAATCTGAAGAATACACATAATCTATTTTATAATGCACGGACTCAAACTTCAATCTCATTCTAATAGGCTACTGCTAGAGAGATAAAACTATTTTAAAGAAAAAATTGCACACAGAATAAACATATAAGTTTCTTGGTGATTCTCACTAAGGCTTCACTGAAGTTTTCTTATTGAAACAATCAAACAAGCTCTTGGCAAAAAGATTTGATATTAGTGTCAGAATAATGTAAGAATCCAAGCTATTTATAATGCAAAAATATTGCTGAAAGCAGATATATCACTCCTTATTTTTCTCATCCTGAAAAAAAGCTAATGTTTCATTCAGCAATAATTCTTCTCTCATTCTATCAGAGAATCTGTATAAAAGCAATACTTCAACTAAAATCAGTTCTGAAGGATCTTTTATGAATACGCATAATGCAGAAGACCCCAATTAGATTTCCAACAAAGCACTGCCATTTTTAGTAAATAAAGTCATCTCAGTAAGGTCAGACTATTTGCAAGGATTGCAGCCTAGAAATTAATTACTAGCATGACATATGTCAAAGCAAATTTTTAAAAGAATATAATACAATTGTAACCATGTGTTTTATCTGTCTGTATATGCAAAACCAGTATCCTCTAGCATGTAAACATATTAATTTATTCAGCATTTCTCAGAAAAATAAAGTTTTATTGCCCCCCTTTTTCCTGTACCCAGGTGAAATCTGAATAAATAACACGTTTAGTGAGTCAGAAACGAAGTACAGAATGAAGATATAGTACAGGTGATATTTCTGAAAGGCAGAAG